ATTAAGCTTATGAAAAATATCTTATATAACTGCTGTACTGTGGACACTGGTGCTCTGGGGCAGACGACTGAGCTGTGCTGTTCACAAGCAGGTGCTGCCCAGTGACTTGAAGCCAAGGCTAAGCGCACAAGCCCAGACTAGGGCACCACCAGGCCAGGGCTCAGGGTAAAGCAAAGTCCTCTGAACCCTTCTCAGCTTTGAACATAAGTCACCTACTGGCTCCATGAGGCTGCTAGGACAGCCAGGGAGAGCAGGGATCCAAGAAAGTTTATGCTGTGGCAGCGGGGTCACTCCCAGATGAAATTGTTCTACTGAGTCTGAAACTCTGGTTGTGACTCTGTCTCCTGAACAGCCTGTTCTATTAAAAAATAAAGGCCGAAACTTAGCCATAGCATCTGTGGACTTGTACACAAACATGTTAAAAATAAAATTGAGCTGTCTAAAAAAGCTGCTCTGAAAAAGAAATCGCTGCAGAAAAGACACCAGTTAATCCCCTTCAGCGCTCCCCTTACAAGGTCTTCCTGACTAGAGGCTTGCTAGTCACTGCTATCTGAGCACAGACAGCTAATTAGCAAGGAGGAACGGCTCCATATTATTAGCAGCAAGATATTGATTTTACTGTTATCTTGATCTCGGGTCCTTTCACAGTCTCTCGCCAGTTTCCGTTTGTTGGGCACTGCTATTTTCCCAGACTGCAAGGTCTCTAGACGGGGTAATTTGTTTGTGCAGCACCAAACACAAAGGCACCATTATCCTTCACCAAACCTCAGGTGCTCAGGTAATGAGAACCTACCACAATATTGCTTTTAAGGTGGTCAGAAGTTCTCATGGTATATTATGACACCACATAAACCGTACTTAAAGTCACTGAAAATGCTAAAGTAATTAAAATTATTTAGCTTTTGGAGAAGAGAATGAAAAAAAAAGTTAGAATTATTGAATCTGCTTGTTTTATAACCTGAAAGATCAATGAAGTATAAGGAAAATATCAACAAGGAAATATTTTTTCTTTTAATTTCTTTTGCCATTTTCCTCCACACTATTTTTGGTTCATATTTCTCACCCTTACTGCACTTTCATCTTGCCCCTCTGTGTCCTTGCAAAGTTTGTTTTCCCTCAAAGAATAAACATTTAAAGGAGAAGACACCTTTTAAGGGGTCATTACCTAGGAAAATCTCAAGGGAATAATTAAAAAAATAAGGCCTTGTTCTGAGACCTGAGTTTCAAACCTATAAAATTGACTTTCCTGAAAGATTTTGGTACAGAAGGGTTGTATGTAAACAAACATAATTCCTTTTGCTTCCAGTGCTATATGTTTACTTACAGGACTGATGCATTTAAAAACACCCCGTGACACTGAGTATTAGAAGGTAAGATTATGTTCAAACTCTGAAAATTAATTCCAGAAACATTACAGTTTATCTCATCATAAGTATTGACCAAGGCGAAGTTAATATAATACACTATAATGAGAACTTAAATGATTTTCATACTAGAAGTGCTGTAATATAATTCTAGTTCATATTGAACTGCAGAGGGATATCTCCTTTGAATGAGACATACGACAGTGATGAAAAGGAAGTTGAAAATCCCTACAGTGAGAATTATGTGATATCCTCAAAACAAGTTTCTACTTGACTCTTGGTTGAGTGCACATTTGAGGCTTTTTAGTATCTTCCAAAGTGCTCTTCCAAATGTGTATCTTCCAGCATTTGAAGCATTTCACATGTGTAGAAAAGAATTTATTATAAGTTTCTGGAAGGCAGCTCTTCCTTTTAGACACCGAGACCCAAAAAGGGCACATAAACCTGACTGCTTTTAGCACAATGTGTTAAGGATCAATTTAAACTAATTAATGTCTATAATAATGATTTTTTTTAAAAAAGCATTTTAGTATTTTATAAGGGAAAAATAGCTGTGATATCATTTTAAAAGCATTTTTATTCATGGCTAATTTATAATCTGTTTTGGATACAGATCTGTGCAGCAGAGTCTGGTAATTATTTCCCTGGTACAGCAGATTTTTTTACATCACACAATTTTGTGATCTGGTATCTTTTGAGAAATGCTGCTACTATTTCTAAAACACCTCAGTACAAATGCCTCAAAAAACCAAATTCAGGTTCAGAGAAGCACAATTTATCCCAACTTTTAGATTTCACTGTGTACACCAAACTGCCATTTTAGATAAAGGAAGACTACACAGTTATTAAGGAGGATTTTTGACATAAAAAGACATCAGGAATATAAAGCAAAACAGTGGTTGGTCTCGTCGACGACTGTGTGGACATCTGTCACAGGTCAAACTACCAGCCAAACCTGTCATGACCAGCAGGGAGCTATGAAGAGGTCTGTGGTCTGTTTTCATTTGGCTGAACAAACATTTTGGGAATGAACAATACAGGAAGAACGGCACACAAGTCAAAGCTGCATTGAAAAGGAAGGTATCTGGATGAGAGTCAGGGTGTCTTGCTCTTTGGGATGGAAACCTAAACATTCAATAGTTCTGGGGGTGAAAAAAAGTCTATCTAGAGAGTTCTTCCATTAATGGAATGGAAATCTACAGTAAGGACACATTGCTGGTGACATCTGCCAGGTCTGAAGCACAGAAGGCTTTACAGGCCAGTGTGTGGTGAGGTTATACCACATGGGCATTACCACCTTTGCATTACACATTGAAGAAATGACAAAAGGTGCTCCTAGACTTTTTTGTCTAGTGGTGATTGTTAGGAAACAGGCAAAACCACCATCCTCACATCCACCTAAGGTGATGTTGCAGGGATACTACTGTCTGAATAATTAATACATTATTAATATATCATTTGGGTAAAAAAAGCAGTCACAAACCACTACTGCTTCTTGAGTTTCAGTGAGACAGAAGTTCTTTCATCTTGAAACCATACCAATCTGGTCAGCCTAGCCAAGAATTTAGCAACTGTTTGAAATGGAAGGTTTTCTCCTCAATGCTTCTCTAGAATCTCTTCCAGATGATCTGTCTCTTAGACAGTGCTACTGACTCTGCCAATACGACAGTCCCATAGTTCACACAGCACCATGGCCTTGCTCCTACTGCTTGACACTAAAGGCAGTTCTGAAAACTTGAGCGATGGGAAGGGTCGTGTCATTCTTAGTAGTTAAGTCCAACACACACTCACAAGTGAAGTTAATTCAGCCTTTATGCCTGATGTTGCCTGACATGGTGTCAGGTCTCTCAGCCTTTGAATCACTGCCAGTACAGTTTGTGCAATGGCTGCTAAAAAGAGAGGAAACCTGAATCTGCAATCTTGCTATCCATACTGGTAGTCATGGGACTGTTTCAGAATGATTCCCAGCTGAAAAACGAAAGGGATAGATAGCCCCTGGTCACAGCTGCACTACAACTGATGCCTTCTGTTGGTGCACTTTCAAAAATGTACTTTCAAGAAATAAACACCGTTTTCATAAATTGTTTCAAAAGAAGCAATTTGAACTCTGTCCTTCACCGAGAACTGAAGGGAAAGAAAAGCAAACAAAACACTTCAGAGACATATCCCTTCTTAAAGATGAAGTGCATAAACTGTGCCTTGGGACCTATTGGTCTCAGACTACAGCTCTTTGTTAGCATTATATGGACTCTAAGTGGTGCCTCCCCCTCTCCACACATCCCACCACCCACATTTTTTCAGAACTAGGACTTATTACACACTGACAGAACATGAATGGGTTGCAGTACTTAATGTCAGCTATTACTGATCTGCTTTGCTAATATGGCATGCTGTCATATAATGCCTTACATATATTTATAGAAGTAACTGAGTATATGCTACCATCCAGTTACTTAGGTGACCAGTTCTCAGAAAGGTTCTTTAACAGTATGCCAAATTCTTCATAGCAATGTCTCAACTGCTTTTCCTATAAGCCACCTAAATATTCAAGCTTTTCTACTTATGCAGTTTTTGGTATTTTCTGTATTCCTTATGACTGTCAGGAAAAGGATAGTCACTGAGGACACACAAGTGACCACAATAAATCACGAATCAGTTGTTCAGCTCTAAGTGTAATGTGACATCCTCATTCTAAAATAGTAGGAAGCTTTTCTTTCATGCATATTTCTGTGCTTTTTTAAAAAAAATAATCCAAAGCATGTTTCAAGAAAAGCTTGCCTGAGGAAACAAACTAAAACCAAGAAAAGAGAAACTACCACAAAAACTTATTGAAAGGCATTAAAAATTAAACAGCTTTTTAAGGAGCTCTCAAACTTAAAAGTGAAACCTATTAAAATTGTCTATACTCATTTAATTTGTAACAATTCCATTTCAAACAACTTTGCTTGGCTGTTGGCTAGGAGTTCAAAGTGAAAATGACATTTTTCTCCACTGCTAATACCCATACACTTCTCCCATCTCATACACTTGACAGAGGTGTGGGGAGAAGACAACTCCCCGCTATTTGAGGTGGTGGTCATATGATCAGATGGATTCAGCAGAAGCATGCTCCAGAATGAGTCCTAACTCTTGTCAGGTACTGCCCTGGCTACAAAATCAACAGACTCCCTAAGCACAATAGCCTGAACCATTATTCTTGCACTGTTTGTACCACAGTCTCTCAGGTAAACAGAAGCACCTTAAGATGTCCAATGTCAAATGGGCATCTTCAGTGAGTCTCAGATGCCACCCACAAAATCAGTAATACAATAAGCATAAATGGAGCATGCTTATGGGAAGATAGTTGATCTTCACATGGCCTAAATCATTATGTTTCCTCTCCAGTTTTATTTTTGACACAGATTTAAAAGCATAATGCAGCAGCTCTTGAGTGAAAGTAGAAACGCACTGAGAATGGAAATTTACTTTCACAGTATATTATGGAACATATACAAACATCTTTACTCAAATGAGCTGAAGTTCTACGTCTTGTGTGTGCAATCCCACTAAAGTCAATGGAGCCACACATCTGAAACTGAAAGGTGAGCAAGTACTCAGCTAAAGCAAACATTTACAACCTTGCATTTGATAACGTACCTTGAAGTTGCAATTTCTACTTTGGTTCTTGCCATAGCAGCTGCTCGCTGTGCACCCTCTATTGCTCTATCCACCTTTTCTCTAGTTTTTGTGTTTCGTATTGGTATAAGTTGTTTTCTTATTCCACGGACCAAAACATTATTTTTATACTTTCCCTCTTCTTTGGTGCCATCTGGAAACATGGTACATCCATATCCATGCCTCCTGTTGTTCAGCCATTCTCCTTCATATTTCATACCATTTGAACGTTCACTGATACCAAAACCACTGCGCTTGTCATTCTTCCATTCACCCATATAGGCTTCTGTAGTGGTGGCATCAACATGGTCTTCCATAGAGCTACAATCACAGTCAGTGTCTCCAAAACTAATTGTAGAGTTGGCGTCGCTAGAACTAATCCTGCTCATAGCAGCATCGCTCCGGACGGAGCTCCGTTTGCTAGATATCGATGACCTAGATTCTGATTTCCTAAGTTTTATACTACCAAGAAGGGATCCTCTTCGGAATAAGCCTCCTTTTTTCTTAATGCCCATGGCTTCTGCATCACTGTGAAAATTGAGCACAAAACCTCCTCTTGTTCCAGCCGGACTGTCTGACGTGATGTCATGCAGAACAGTGCCGTTGCTCTGCTCACTTCGAAGGGAAGCTAGAGATGTTCGGAGGGGTGAACGGATCACAGTTGCCATGCCATAGGGAACACTCTGACGTACACCGTATCCATGTCGCATCCCTCCGGTCCACTGCCCCTGGTATGTACCTTTTAAAGTAATAAGGAGAAGTTAAATTTGGGAAGCTGTAGAACACCTAGAACACTACATCCAATATGCGACAGGCAATACTACATTGTCAGCTCTGTTTTCAGTAAGAAGAAATGCAGAAAAATCACAGCACATGACACAGTAGATAACTCTCAGATAGACACAGTAGAGTAACTTTTGTTACTTGTTTTTCTTATATTTTTCTGCTTAAATCCTTCACTTTCACAGCTGAAGTAATTTATTTTGGCAACTAAGACACAGTAGCTATAATCATAACCATTTTTTGAATGGATCTCTCCAGGGAGAAAAAAAAAACAAACAAAAAACCAAAAGTGCAATTTCTAAAGCAGGACTCCCTCTGTATCTTTTTAAGGTGGACTGATGGGAATGTGGCCAGCAGAAACAGAGCCACATTATTTGCAGTCAGCTGGGGAGGGAGACAGGGAAGGGAGAGAGCAGGACACTCATGGCTCTTGCCTCCAGCTGCTCACAGAGCAAGTAGGAATAGTAAACATCCTGTTACCCTGGGTTTAACATGACTACAAATCTCTCCTTGTCAGGACCTATTTGGCAATGCACTACATTGTCATGTCTTCAGATGGGCCTTTGGATCCACTGTTAGAAACCTCGATTGTAAAATTTAAAAGATTTGAGTTTTTGCATGGACACGAATGAAAGAACAAAACCTTGGTATAGCTTTCTCTTCATGAACTCTTCATATCAACACTTTGTGGTAACCTCAGTATATCAACAGGCACTGCATTCTGCACGATGTTGTGACAGAAAGAACAGAAACCTGAATCCTTTAGCCCTGCTCTTGCCTTTCATTGGTTCTGCAGTACGTAAGAAAGGCAAGGCAGTAATAACATAATATTGCACAACATTCCATCAAACATATTTCATTGCTGCAATCATAACTATATCTGCAAATATTTTTTAACAGCAACAAAAGGAAGAGTGACATGGTATATGACATGAAAAGTCATCGATATCCATGCAAAGCTGTATCTGAGCCAAATCCCACCTTGATCAGGTTACTACTGCACACAATTTTTCTCTAGTGTTCTCAAAAGGCATTTGCATTTTGGCATACAACAGTGTCTGGTCTCTGCAAGCAATCAGTACCAAAGGTTCCAAAGGCAGGTGGCAGGAACGAACTCCACAACTAGCAAATACAATATAATTTGCTTTCTGATATCATTTCACTCTAATTGCCATGAAACTGCTTTAAGCTTCTCAAAATGAAGTCTCTCACCCACCTATAGTGCTGCTGCTTTTTTTTAAGAAAAAAGCTATTTTGAATCTGAATATTCTTACAGAGGGATGAATAAGCAATCTTTAAAGTATCTTTTTTGATTTTGATCTGGTTTAACCGGAGCACCTATTAAAAACTATTCAGAGAACAAAATCTCAAACATCAAATTCAGTGACTGACAAAATTTTTCTGAAAATATTTGTGAAATACCTGCTGCTTTAGATACTTGAGATTTGATTTCCTTTGTACAAACATACTGTCTTGGTTGTGTACATGTCAACTATCTACTGAGTACTGCTTTCCTGAATGACCTCTTCTGATTAGTTATATTCCAATGTTAACATGCAATTAAATTTGCTAAGTTTGTTTTCTTTATTATATAACACTAGATAGGTTCCACAACATAACTTATTATGTGTTGGTAGAAGATTCTACCAAGTGGAAGGGTTTTGTTTTAACAGATGGCTGGTGACACAAACAAACAACTTTCTTAGTTTCTTTCTCATTCTCTGTATCCTGGATACCTACTGCTGTACTGGTTGTAAGGCTGCTGAATCTAGGAACATGATTATTTTAAAAAACTCAGCATATGGGGAAGAACAAATAGAAACATGGGCACAAAGCACTGGGATGACGTACTCTGTAAATACTGCAAATATACAGCCACATTGTGAGCTTTTTTCTTTATTAAACAGACATTTCCAAGAAATATATTCATATTTTGTGAGCATAAATTACTTCGTTTTGACCCTAGTTATATCTGGGATCCCCCTAGCATTGTAATGATATGCTAAAGCTAAGAATCTAGCCACATATCCTTGCTGCTACATATAATAATCTGTCTAACATTCTGCACCAGTTAATTTAATTTTTAAATAATAAATCTAAGTCTAATTTTGACTACACCTCAATATTACAGTAGAGCAGCAACTCACAATTATGGCTCTCCATGTTGCTATTGGAATGTCAGACTTGAAGCAGAATCAACTTAGTTCACTACTTTATAAAAGGTCAGGGTTTTTTTGTATTAATATTGTAATTACTTGTGCTGGAAAGCTCAAAAACACTTGATTAATTTAGGACTTGTACTTTTCATTACTCTAGAAAGAAATGGAAGTGGTCGCTGCTGCCCATAAGGTCATTAAAACAAGAACAATTGATGTCCTGCTACTCTGTAGTCCTATTTTCCCTGCTACTGGGGAAATAAAATCAATAGCAGACTGGTCCTTAAAATGTACCAGATATTTAGGCTGAATTTTGCATAGCCTTGCAGGTAACAATTACCTGTTCTATCATTACAAATCCATTAAGGAAAAGGCTTCTGACACTAATGCTTTACTAAGGTATTTTAATGGCATATGGAGGGAAGTGTCCAGAATGCAGACACAAGACTTGTACAGTAATTTGACTGACTATATCAGACTGTAATTGCATCACCTTATTCCAAAGAAATGTTAGAAATCTTTAAACAAGCAAGTTAATATTGCAATGCAATTAAATACAAGTGTGTGATATAAGACATGGTAAAACCCCTTTTTTCATATATGAAGATGCAAATATGCAGTATTTTCCTATCCCTCTACATAGAACTGAATGACAAGTTGACAAGCACACCTTACAGTGCTTTACTTTACACCACAGCTAACTATTCAAAGTAGTTCCTGTAAAGGTCAACTGTTAAAATTTTAATTAACACTGTCATTACCAATCAAATTTTAAACTGTATTCGACCATAAAACAATAACATTACTCAGCACTAATATTCCAAAAGCTGCGTTTGGTATCCTTTGTAGCTGAAGAAACATTCAGCCACAACTTCTACTGAACATCCATCAGGTGTTGGTTCTCTTGCAAAGGTGTTCATATTTTGAGCCTGAGAACTACTAGAAAATGTCTTTTTTTTCTTTCCTTTTTATGGCAAGTTGATTTAAGATATAATTTCATAACCAGTCTCCTTAGAGTTACACTGTGACATCCCTTCCGAAAAACCCACTGTACATCTTACAGCTATAAATGTCATTGCTCACTTGCTGCTAAAATCTAAAACTACACTGCGTGAAAAAAAACTGAGAGGCCAAGGACCTATTTAACTACTCCACTTGCTCTTATCCTTTACTTACATCTTCTATGGTTTAACAAGTTCGTTGTTCTATCAAGATTTCTGCATGCTTTTCAGACTCACATGCTAGATAAGCATACACCTAGAAAGAAGACCTCTCATAAATCAGCACTGCTGGTGACCTTTGCTTAGGGAGCATTTGCCACTGATCTCCCTCTGTGGCACAACAACACACAACCACTTACGGCTATTGTTGGAAGGACCATAAATAACTAATTTAGACATACTGAAGTTTCAAATTAGGCCATAGTACCTCTGTAAGAAAAGCTCTTGTAGGCTTGCAGATTCACACAGATTCAATAAAACCTAGGAAGTTCAAAGGAGGCACAGCAATCCAGACTGCCGTAGGGAACAGCCTGACAGGCCACTTGGAAGGCCCAGCATAATCACATGCAATGAATGGAGGATCATGGTTTATAATTCACAGTGTTTTCCTTGGAGATTTGACTGAGTGACAATTTTAAGCATCTAAACACAGCATGACAAATATTACTCATGTCGTGCAAAGTGTTGTGTGCAGAAACACTCAGGAACGCTGTCAATGCTTATTTTTCTTTTCCTCAACCACATCTCCTAATACCAACCAATGCATTTCAAAATGAAATACTGGGGAAAGAAAAAAACAAAGAGAAAAAAATAGCAGCAAAGAGGCCTGGATAACAGTGAGTTGGAAAACAAACTGGCAATTGGCATAGTCTAAATAGTTATTTCTCTGTGCTGTATTCTCTGGGCATCATAAAGACAGAGCTTTCCTTCAAATGTTAGAAAGTATGTTAAAGACACGTATGTAAATCTGGTCTCCTTATAAAAATATTTCAGAGATTCTTCTGGTGTGCAAATGCAGCTATTGTCCCCGGAGCAGGAAAACAAAAACACATCTGCAAACATCTATGACGTACTGCTCTGCTTCATTCATGAGCACTTCCATTAAAATCAATGGGACCTAACACCCTCTGTTCACAGGAGCTGTGACACGCAACAGACCGGGGCCATGACAACAGAGCTCAGATAACAGGGCTACAAACCTCACAGTGTGAACTCAACACTTCTTATGCTGCCCCAAGCCTAAAAATTCACAGAATTTACCTCCAGTAATTGGTGTTATATCAAGATATTTTTAAAAACCCAAAAGAAGCCTCAAAAGATGAGAGTATCTTTAGCTTGAGAAAATAATTTGCCGATTTCCTGGAATGGCAATTTACATCCCCGGGAGGGAAAAGGCCCCAAACAGATGGACGCCACAAATTCAGCTATTTTTCAGCTTGTAATTTACTAGCCAAAACAAATACCATAAAAATTGAAAAGTGTACTGCATGGTAAAAGTTAAACTCAAATTCCAGTCTCTTCCACAGTTTGATTTTGGTGGTGGTTTTTTTTTTTTTTTTTTTTTTTTTAAAATCCACATATCTCAGCTGACTTCAAACATCAGAACTTTCCACACCAGGGAATGATTTTCAGACAGATACAAACCATGCATAAACAAGGGGATAAAAAGGTATAAAATCCACAGTCCATTTCATTTTCTGAAGGAAATGAATCTTACCAAACTTGCTACATTTTATATTTCAGAAAGGGAAAAAAAAATGAGCACAACTGTAAATGTGTCTTCTTCTGTTTAGTA